TTATACAACAATTTGTAGGTAGCCTGATCCATTAAATTGCTTTCAGCTGATACATTAACTCTTCAATGGAGCATTCCAAACCCACCCTTCAGGCCTTTGACACTACAAATGATATTTAAAGTATGAGATAAGTTAAGTAAAAGTACAAATTAGATCAGAACATTTGGCCCACTTGCTTATTGGGTTGTATGTAGCTTTAGTGTCCTAAGAATTTCGACCTATGCCAATCCTAAAGGATAGCATAGAGTCAGATTCAAGCCCATTAATTGAGAGATGGACAACAAAGTGTCTGCTATTTATCTATCCGGAATTGGCCTAAGCGTACTTTTTCTCTGGCTTATTGTGTTGCTGCTGACCTTGGGACGTCCCCTGTGCTGCCTTGGCTGATGTCTCTCAGCGTTTTAAAGATGTGAATCAAGTCTCCACATAGTCTTCTCAGTTCCAGGCGAAAGAAGATTCAGTTCCTTTCATCTGTTCGAGTATAACATTCCCTCCAGGACAGGCATGGTCTCTCTCCTATTGTACTGTCTCCAGAGCGATAATATTTTTCTCGAAATGTGAAAAACCTTTCATTATTCTGCCAGTTCCGCGCTAAGGGGTTAAATACTCATATCGTGTTGCTCTTATGCGCTGTTTATCTTCTGTTCTTGCGCAGTGTCTCCAAGGCATTTTCCCAGAGAGAAGCTTTAAGATGTTGGTGTTCAGTCAGCCCTTCCTTTGCGGTCTAGAAGGAAAAGCGATGAGTGGAGGTTAAAGAGCACAAAACGAGGCAGTAACAGAGGCGCAGTAACAGACAAGCCACCCACGGCGCAGTGAGGAGCCAGACCCGGGTTCAAGGGGAAGTCTGGAAGGCAGTTTCCAGCTGCATTGTATTAATGGCCAGTCAAGGGGAGAGCAGAGTAAAGGTCAGCCAGCCAAGCAGGACTGAACCCCTGGGTCTTTTTTCATGCTGTGGTACCTGTCAAGAAAATAAACACATTTCAGAATTCGGAATCATTTGTTTTCCCCACAACATGCCTATTGGTACAGTACCAATCCCGGTACCCCAGCTCTGTTTTATCAAATTCATTTTCAGTCATTTCCATGACTTTCTGGCCATATTGTTTCACAATATTTGAACACTGTTGTCTAAACTTTACGACACTTCCCAAGTATGTTTTTCTGTTTGGGACGTGCCTGTTCTCAACTGATGTGTCGTTGTAGTAGGATACACCAGGAAACTACCCTTGTCTCGGCCTGGCCTGTACCTCTTACTGAGCTCATTTTGTGTTGTGTGTTTACCAGCTCAGATAGCTCTAGCGTAGCAGGGCGCTGGGACAAACATGAGCCAAGAAGCTGGGAAAAGAATGATGTCAGCTGCTTATTTGAGTAACCAGTTGGTTTGTATTAAAGTGCCCTGGCATTCAGAAGTAGGATTTTGAAAAAAAAAAAAGATTTAAAAACTATCTATGCATGACAGTTAAAAACTACCTCAAGGGCAAGTTTAAATGCAACACGATTTTCAAAAATTAAAGATTGAAACAAGAGTAAAGGAAATAAAGATACGACTGTCTTTGCTTTGTATGCAGCTTATCATATTAAGAGCCATTACAATTGCAGCAAATGCTGTGGTTACAATACTTGCTGCATTATTAATGCCTCCCAGAATTAAGCTTACAATGAAACCATGTTTTGGAGAAGTTCTGTTTTTTTTAAGTAAACCGGGGAGGCCATTTTTGGACAACGCAATAAAACCCATCGAGTGTTCAGAGAGAGCCGAGGTTTGTGGAAATCATTAACCTGGACTCTGGCTCTCCGGCTGTCTTGTTTTTAAAAAAGCGAAGCCTTTCTGGAGCTGTGTTTCCATGACTGTGTCACTGGCTGATTTCATCTCCGCTTTGTAACTGGCAGCACTCAGTCTATAAAATAAATGCTTAACTTTGGACTCTGAGCCGAAATCTTCTCAGCGTGTGTCAGACGTTATGGCATTACCTTTCCGTCTTGCTTTGCGCTGGTGAACACATTTAAGGAGAGGCCCGCAATCGCAAAGAATGGAAACAAATTCTTCAGCCTAACATGATTTATTCATTGTTCTTATGCACACCCTGCTTTTTACAAGCAAATGAATGGATTTTCACACAGGTTTAGTGCAGGCCGTGAACTCCATTACACAGA